TCTCAACTAAGCTTATCTGTCTAAAATATCTCAACACAGCTCAATACACAATATATTATCTAAACTAACTCAGTATAGCTTAATACTTATCTTACTCAGTTTATAGTTTTTGCAATGGTTCTCCCAGAGCTAACTGCTTAGCCATCAGCACGTCTGAAATCTTTCCTCAAACTGAAAAGGCAGGGGAGAATCTAAAATGGGGATCTTTCCCTGGGAGAAAAGGCGGTCCCTAAACTCAAAGAGCTGCTCTCTAAGCCAATAGTTGCAAAGAGGCCTGCAGACTCTGATACTATTAACTTTTAGGATGCAGCAGCCCTGTGAGAAAATGCAAGAGGAAACAACCTCAAGCAACTTTAAAGTGAGGCAAATCAGGCTCCTGGGAGACGGAACAAGCATTCTTTCCTGACATTTTGCCTGCATCTGTGACAAGCATTGTCAGAGATTTGTTCAGAGGTCTGTTAGAAATGAGGCAAGTCTGTGAACTGTCCAGTGTGGGTGAAATGTCAGGAAAGAATGCTACAGGAACTTGGCCATACTGCCCAAAGAACTCACAGCAAGTTATACATTGTTTTTATAAATAGTTCTCTATACATTATAGACTGTAATTATTGACTGATTTCATTGTGCCATGATCTAAAGATTTTCTAGTGAATTCTGGCAGTTCTGTGAAGGATGAATAAAGTAAGTTTGTAAACAATAATCATAAAATTGGTTTATTCTGAAAATACTGTTCCAATTATAGGATGTTTCATTATTTACTTGTTTTCAGTTGTATGCACTATAATGATAAGATCCCATGGAACAAATGAACTTGAATGAAGCATGTGAAACAAATCTTAGGGTCTTAGAACCTCATCACAGGAGGAATTTTTAGCATCCTAGGATGTTTCTGCCCAAGTTGAGGGATGGGTGGGCATGCAGTCCATCACAAGACATCCCTCAACTTCCAATGGAGACCTCATCCCTAACCAGCGAGGAAGCATCCTAGGACATTTCCTTGTCAACATGGGAAGGTTCCTGTGTTGTGCTGGCTCTAATAGAGCCAGCATACTTCTTACCTGGTTGGGTGATAAGAAAAGCATCTCCACACCAGAGTGGCACTTGCTAGCGAAATGGCACAGAGTGGCATGTGATAAGCTTATTAGTAGACCATAAGTTGAACATGAGTCAACAGGGTGATATGTCAGCTGAAAAAGCCAATGTGATTACAGGCTGCACCAGAAGAGGTACATAGTATCTTGAGCCTTTAGCTACAAGGAGAAGCGGGTAAGAAATAAAATTATAAAATCATTATCATCATCATCATTATTGTTATTATTACTATTATTGTTGGGAATCAGCCTGTGTTTGTGTTTCAGAATCCTGATGTGGGAAATGATGGGTGAAATGATGAGAAAATGATGGTGCTGAGGCTGAGGTACAAGATGGAGATGGTTTGGTCAATGATTTTCAGGCAGACAATGACAGAGAGGCCCCAGTGCAAAGGGCAGTTTCTCATGAGAATATTCCTGCTGGGCCTAGCAATGATGGTTCACTCCCTCTCTCTGTGAGCTCTCAAGATTTGGGTTTGGAAAACAATCTGACACCTGGGAATTTTAATGAGCAGCCAGATAGGGAGCTGAAGAATAGGCGGCTGGAGATTAGCCAGGATCAACAGCAAACTCAGTGTTTATGTCACTCTGAAAGGCTTCGTCTGATAAGGGGTAAATGTGGGGGAAAGTGAAACCAATTTCTGAGTTTTGGGATATAAGGTTTGCCTCAAGGGGAAACCTGTTAGATCAGGCATCGTTTCGAAATCAAGTTCATGCGCCATGGAAACCCTGTTCAAGGGGTCTCATTTCTGTGGAGGTTTTTTTTAGCCTTTTGGATTGTCTTTGCATCCTGTTGATTCCTGTCTGGATAAATGCTGTCTTGGATTGCTTTTATATCTGGTGTGGACATTGCTTTGTGTTACTATCTTTTATGGGCATTACTTTTTGGAACTTTCTTATTTTCTTACAAGCATTTATTTCTTCTGGCTATTTACTAAGCTTCAATAAAAGAAGATTTATTACTTCACTCTTCGTGTGGTTTGTTTTAAAGTCAGGGAGCTTTTTCCTGACCTGGAGTGCAACAATTATCTAGAGTGAGGGAAGTAATAATCCCACTTTATTTTGCTTCAGTCAGACCTCACCTGGAATGCAATGTCTAGTTCTAGGAATCAAAATTCAAGAAAGATATTGATAAACTGGGACGTGTCTAGAGGAGGGCAACCAAAATAATGAAATGTCTTAGGGCAAAATCCTATGAGGAGTGCTTAGGGAACTGGGTATGTTTAGTTAGAAGAACAGAAAGTTGAGAGTTGACATGACAGCCAAGTTTAAGTATTTCAATTAACATCATATTGAAGATGGAACCAATTTGTTTTATGCTCCTTCAGAGACTAGGACATGAGGCAATGGATTCAAATCGCTGGAAAAGAGATTCCATCTGTATTAGGAAGAACATCCTGACAGTAAGAGTTGTTCAACAGTGGAATATGCTGCTTCAGAGTGTAGCAGAGTCTTTTTAAATTGAGCTTGTGGTACAGCATGCAAGCCATGAATCACAGTGTATATATATTAGGAGTATGTGAAATGACACAGAAACCATTCTGTTTTCATTTTAGATGCCCCCCCCCCCCCAATTCTTGGGAAGATTCCTCCTGAAATGGAAATGGAACTCAGGGATCTGAATTACAAATCCAAATCCCCCTCCTAATCTCTCAGAATTTTCCCAAAGTCAATTGGGGGGGGGGGGGCCTGTAGCCGGGGGGGGGTTAGGGGTTCCAACTCCCCCCAAATTTTTCAGGTTAAAAAAACCCTGATTTACTCATGAATTTTAACTGGTTAACTAAATCCGCATCTGAGACGCAAAAAATTAAGAGTCCCTCCAGAACTGCAAGCACTATCTCAAGCAAATATTGACAATTTATTCACACTGTCATTACTTGCAGCAATAGCCGATGTAGCGAAGCAACCAAGTTGGGGGGGGGAGTGTTGAATGCTCTCATTAAGGAGGCCAGACTTGGTGGAGGTGGTTGACAAGGGCGGAGCTGCAGGCTATTGAAGCTTCTGCCCCCTGCTGTGCTATTTGCTTCAGCGTGAGGTTTCAAACCCACCCCCCACCCCCTGAAATTTTCAACCCCACCCAAATTTTTTTTCTGGCTACAGCCCTGGGGGGGGGGGGGCACACACAAAATTGGAAACAAAAACAGAACGAAAATAGAATGGATTCGCACACCCCTAATATCAGCATAATCCTCTTTCCCTACCCCATGGCGCAGCTGGGGAGGGAAAAAGAGCTTTGCCTCCTCCCACCAAGGAGGAAACCATCCCAAAGTAGTTTCTACTGGAACTACTTTGGGGGGCAGAGCCTGGAGGGTAATAGCCTCCCTCCGGCTCAGTCTTTGCTTGATGGTGACCCACCTCACCCACCCATTAACAGTATAATTATTGGTTGCCTTAGGGAGCCGGGTAGGATTTTTTTTCCCCTTCTATGTTCTACGAATGTTTTTTCGCCTACCCTATACTGTTACTAGGGGGAAGATTGGGTTTTGGTGGTTATAAATAGGTTTAGCGGAAAACAGCTAGAAAAGAAATACATTTGGTGTGCACCCAAAGCATCCCCATTTGGGACAAAAGCCATTAACATAAAACATCACCGGTTGTTACTCTAACCAAGGTAACTACTGGATAAATGGCTTTGAAATGGGGAGGGTCTTACTTCAACATCCTTGGGGAAGATTCCTTCAACACAATTAGCTAAAGGTTATTCTGGTTTATGTCACACGGGAACCGGGTGCTTCGCCCTATTTAGCCGAGGGGTAGGCCGGGAAGGGACACCACCTCGGCTTTATTCACTACACGTTCATGCTAGTCTGATTATGAGATTCAATTATTGATTTAATTAGGTAACAGTCAATAAAGTTGCCCAGTTTCAAACCCATAACTGTTGTCTGGTGTCTTCATTTGGGGGGTTGGCAGGCAAAAGAAATCTGGGCTTGCATAGCCTTGTTGCATCTTAAAACGCTTCCTCTGTAGTGAACCAAATGAAGCCTTCCTTGGTCATATGGGACTGAATGCAAAGCAGAAGCTTTACAGACAAATCACTTGATTAGTATACAGTGGGATCTTGGTATTTGCTGAGGTTTGGTTCTAGGCCCCTTACAGATACCAAAATCTGTGAGTGATCAAGTCTCATTATATACAATGGTGTATTAAAATGGTGTTCCTTGTATAAGATGGGAAAATCAAGGTTTGGATTTTTAAATATATATATTTTCAAGCTGCAGTTGGTTGAATTCGCAAATACAGAATCTGTGGATATGGAGGGACAACTTTATATTGATGAGGAAGTCAGTACGTTTCCCTTCTTCTCCATCCCTTCTAAAGTATGGGAATTAAAAATAAGGAAAAAATCTTTTTGTATAACATACTGGATGTAAACATGCAAAAAGACTAGCATCATTATATGTCAGAAGCACGGTTAGGCAATCGTAAAGATGAATGCTATCGAGATGTGACAGCTGTATAATGAAAGATCAGTGGTGCCTCTTACTTTTTTATTTATCTTTTTCAAAATAGGGAGTTTTAAACTGGATCTTCTGTATCTTTAAAATGTGTCTTTGAGCCTCAAAAGGAGAGACCCGAGGAGTCTAGAAAGGTCTGTTAACCTCAGGAGATTGGGGAGGGGGGTGTTATATTAGACCTCTGAGTCACAGGAGGTTTTGCATAGCTGGTGTTTGGTTACAAGCCTTTTATGGAGGCTCTCATCAGGGATATCAGTATCTGCAATATAACCCCTATCTATTCTTAGGTGACACTTCGGCAGGACTGACCAAGGCAAGAGACAAAAACGATCATTCTTTGTGTGTGTGTGTGTGCTTTAATTTGAAAGAAAGAAAAAGACCCTCTCCTATTTTATTTTATTTTTGAAAAAGCAATACCCACCTGTACCCTCTCCCTCCCTCTGTTTCACAGAGCCTTTGGGGTGTCCAGCGTGAAAGAAAGATAAAATGTCTTACAGCGTGACGCTCAATGGACCTGGACCGTGGGGGTTCCGACTGCAAGGGGGAAAGGACTTCAACATGCCTCTGACCATCTCCAGAGTAAGTCTTGAGCTTGACTGAAGCCAGGAAATGACAGCAGCCTTCTTTGTAATGCAGTGAACAACTGGCCTATGATTGCAGTTTGATTTACTAAAAATACTTTTATTTTAAATGAGAAAATTGGGTAGGAAGAGTATTGCAGTGGTGAAAATGTCCTCATGCTGCAAGGAGGACAGATTTTATGTATTACTCTTCTGACTTCTCTCATTTACAGAAAAAAATATTTGCGATATTGATGGTGAATTTGTCAATGAGCATCATGTCGCTCAGAACATTTCTGCCCTAAAAGTGAATGTGTTAAAGAGACTTGGGTTTGAGTGGAATGGGAAGAAGGGATGGCAATTTGGAAAATGTTATAGTCTTATGACAATGGGTCCCAGAAGTTTTGGCCTTCAACTCCCAGAAATCCTACCAGCTTGTAAACTAGCTCGGATTTCTGGGAGTTGTAGGCTAAAACACTTGGGGACCCACAGGTTGAGAACCACTGACTTAGGATCTTATCACATTGGGATATAATCCATTTATATCAGTATACATCCTGGAACCCCTGATGGCGCAGTGGGTTAAACCCTTGTGCCAGCAGGACTGAAGACCGACAGGTCGCAGGTTTGAATCTGGGGAGAGCGTGGATGAGCTCCCTCTATCAGCTACTGCTCATGCGGGGACATGAGAGAAGCCTCCCACAAGGATGATAAACCATCAAAACATCTGGGCATCAGGAGCCCCCGGTGGCGCAGTGGGTTAAAGCCCTGTGCCAGCAGGACTGAAGACCGACAGGTCGCAGGTTCGAATCCGGGGAGAGGCGGATGAGCTCCCTCTATCAGCTCCAGCTCCTCATGCGGGGACATGAGAGAAGCCTCCCACAAGGATGATAAACATCAAAAATCATCCGGGCGTCCCCTGGGCAACGTCCTTGCAGACGGCCAATTCTCTCACAACAGGACACTCCTGACACGACAAAAAAAAAATCCTGGTCATCCCCTGGGCAACGTCCTTGCAGATAGCCAATTCTTTCACACCAGAAGTGACTTGCAGTTTCTCAAGTCGCTCCTGACACGACAAAAAAAAAGTATATATCCCATATATTTTTAGGATGCATACTGTATTGAGACGGGATGCATACTCTCTCATCACCCCTGATTATTATGATTCTTATGATCTGAAAATACTGCGCTTTGATTTATCACACTACGGAAGGCTGGCTCCTCCCAATCCATTCAAAACACTCCCTACATCACTCTATAACCTGTAAAAAAAAGTATTGTTGCTGTTGGGATGCATACAGATTTTCCTATCACACACAAAAACAGCGCTTCAGCAACGGAAGAATCCATAGTATTTTAAAAAGCATGATGAGAATTCAATTTGCAAATAATCTGTTTCTGCAACGTTTTGCAGATGGATTATGACAGAATACTGATGGGATGGGGCAAACGTCATGTGAAATCATGACGTTTGCCCCATTCAAAATCATTCTCAGTTTCAGAAATGGAGTATTTCCCAATGTGATAAGGTCTAGAATGATGTCTCCATTGGAAAGTGGGCGAGGGCTGCCAAGTTATCTTATAATTTTTGTTTCCCCACATGTGATTAATTAGTTTGAAATTCAAACCCCAAAACCCTTTTCTTCCTTGGATTCAAAGTGGTTAAGTACCCTTATAGTGTACAAGTATTAGCACCAAAGACATCCTGACTTTCGCCTTGCTAGGAAAATGTGTTTTGCCTTTTTTAAAAAGGATTGCTCTTTAGAGTAGATTTAAATTCAACCAGTCATAGTGAAGTGGGATTTAATGTCTTGCATTATCTAAGTACCTGCCGTTTTCAGAGCCAAGTAATGAGTTACTTAATAATTAATTATCTGCTGTAATGAGAAAAGACCACACAGTTTATTTTGTTTCCGGTCTTCCACTTTCCATGAGAACTCTTGGGTGGTTGTCCAGAGGAAGGCTGTTCTTAGCATCCAGTCTATTTGAAGAACTTCCTAAAAGGGCTACAACATGGCAAAAAAACAAAACAACCCTCCTTTCTTGGATTCTAACTCTGCTCACATTCAATGATATGCTGGAGAATTCAAAACAAAGGAATTAGGCAGAACAGTGAATCAAATACTTGGATTTATTTCAAATAGCTTGCCTCAAAGATAGCTTCTTCTTAAGATGAAAAGTATTCTTGCTGTTGTGTGTTAATGATCAAATCTGTAAAGAAACCAGAGTTTATTCTGGAAATGTTTCTTGCTAGGGCTGGAACACATATTCGTGGGGAGTTAATTTCAGAATGGGTAAGTGTAGGATTGTGCTGTAGGGCTCAACTCATAGAACTATCCTAACTTTAATACTTTTTGGCTGTGGAATTGGGTATGGTCCTATCTGGTCTCAAAGGTCATCTCTCCACCACACCAGAAGAGAAGGTTGGCCACAGGACCAAGATGGGACTGGCCTTAGCTGAAATCTTCATATCAGTAATTGTGCTGTTAAAGACAAATGAGCTCTCTGACTGAGACCTGGAGTCCTTCCTGGTGAGCCTTCAATGCTGTAACCATATTGCCCCATCCATGGTGGGGGGGGGGAGTAATCACATTGTCCCATCCAGACAGGCCCATAGCCAGGATTTCATTTTGGGGGGGGGTGGGTGGGGGGGGGGGGGGGGGGGGGCTGAGTCTGAGTGAAAGAGGGTCTAGCCTAGCAAACCTTTTCTATCATTACCCCCAATACCCCCATGCATATGGGATATATTGAGCATGGTGATCAGATCATGATATGAATAAACATAACAGTTTAAATAATGCACCAGTAAGGCCTTCGCATGGACCACCCCCCAGGGGGGGGGCTGAAGCCCTTAAGCCCCCCCCCCCCAGCTACATGCCTGCATCCAGATGTTGTCAGTCTTCCACTTGTAATTCTCTCATATTTTCCAGCAATACTTCCATATTTTATCTTCCCAATTTAAAAATTGTTAAGTATGTAGGATGTCTATAGATGGAATGGAAAACATGTGTTCCTCGAGTCCAGATGTTGTAGGACTATAACTCACCTGATTTCTGTAGGCCTTCCACTTTCTTAAGGTTTAGGGCACAGAATTCTTGCAAACTGGATGAATAAAAAATCCACTTTTTGGAGATAATATATTTTTAGGAATCTCTAGGTTTTCCAGCATAACTCTGTGGTCAACTTCCTATGAGTTGTGGAAGTTGACCATAGAGTTACCTTGGAGGACCTAGGTATTCCTAGAGAAAATGTATCCCTCAAATTCAGGGATTAAGTTTGCAAAAGTTAAATTCAAAAATGTGGAAGGCAGGTAGCACTCACAATTGGCTATGATGGCTAGACTGGGTGGAAATTGCTGTCCAAGAACATCTGGAGGGCAGCATGTTCTCCTCCCCATGCTAAAAGCTTTAGCAATAGGAACAGAACATGTGATCACATCCTAAAATGCAGCTATAAATGGAGACCTGCCACAAGCTGTTGCAATGTGATGATGGTCAAGATTCCAGCCATTTCATTGTATTGGCCACTCTATGCATGATCAGTAAGTCCATCTCTGGTCATGTGTAGTCCTCGCTTGTTTTGGGTTTACTTCTTTACATTTTTCCTTCCAAAGAATGTTTTATACATCCATCCTATTTCCATATTTGTAGATTGGCTCTTGCCAAAGTTGCTTTAGTGACTACTAGAATTCATCAACCAGCATGGCTGTAAGCTAGAATATTGTAGGAGTTGTAGTCCAAAATACCTTTTCCTAGCACTGATTTCTTTCCCTTGCATTTGATCAGTGTTATATCAGCTATATAATAAAAATAATTCACAAACTGAGCACTGGAATCAAAGGAAAGTATTTTGTGTGTCTGTGTGCGTCAGGAGCGATGTTTTACCATCCTTGTGGGAAGATGTTTGATGTTTTAAAATCCTTGTGGGAGGCATCTCATGTCCCCACATTGGGAACTGGAGCTGACAGAGAGAGTTCAACCCGCTGTCCCCGGATTCTAACTGCTGACCCGTTGGTCATCAGTCCTGCTGGCACAAGGGTTTAACCCTCTGTGCCACCAGGGCTCCAAGGAAAGTAATGGGACCCAGGAACAAAATGTTCCATTGCTAAGTGCCTCAGTTAAGATAGGCACCCCACTGCATCTGTGCTCTCCCCACTCATCTTCTTCCTTTACCAGCAGTCAGTCAGAATGTTATACTATCTGAATATAATCAGTTCCTAAATATCCCTTTTTTAAATTACCAACTTTGTGGATATTTTAAAAATTATGGTTCATGTTGTGAGCCAGGAAGCTGTCTATATAGACCAGCGTTTCTCAACCTGGGGATCAGAAGGAGGTTTCTGGGGGGTCACCAAAGACACAGTATTTTCTTTGGGGGTTCTGTGTGGGAAGTTTGGCCCAATTCTAACCTTGGTGGGGTTCAGAATTCTCTTTGATTATAGGTGAACTATAAATCCCAGTAACTACAACTCCCAATGTCAAGGTCTATTTTCCCCAAACTCCAGCAGAGTTCACATTTGGGCATATTGGTTGTCATGTCAAATTTGGTCCAGATCCATTATTGTTTGAATCCACAGTGCTCTCAGGATGTAGGTGAACTGCAACTCCAAAATTCAAGGTCAATGCCCATCAAACCCTTCCACTATTTTCTGTTGGTCATGGGAATTCTGTGTACCAAGTTTGGTTCAATTCCATCATTGGCGGAATTCGGAATGCTCTTTGATTGTAGGTGAACTATAAATCCCAGCAACTAAAACTCCCAAATGACAAAATCAATCCCCCACCAGTGTTCAAATTTGGGTGTATCGGATATTTTTGCCAAATTTGGTCCAGTGAATGAAAATACATCCTGCACATCAGATATTTACATTATGCTTCATAACAGTAGCAAAATTACAGTTGTGAAGTTGTCATGAAAATAATTTTCTGGTTGGGGGTCACCACAACATGAGAAACTGTATTAAGGGGTCATGGCATTAGGGAAGTTGAGAACCACTGATATGGACAATAAGGTCAT